ATCTGCTCCCCGGCCCCAGGCGCGGTCGTGGGGTCCCTGGGTGATGCTGATGCTCCCAGGGTTTGGGTTTCCCAAAGGGAAGGGGGTTCAGCCTGGGATGGGGGTCTTGGCTCACGGAGCAGGGGGGTGTTGGGGACCCCCGCCCACCTGCTCTGCTCCCCGCGCTCCTTGCCTGAGAGCAGGGAAACAACATCTAAGCTCAGCCCTGCTGGACACCCCGCTGCCTGCAGGAGGATCCCAGCCAGCAAGAAGGGCTGTTTCCCTCCCTCCAAACTGTCCATCCCCTCTTGCAAGGAGCAGAAGGGGCTTTGCCAGCTGCTGGGGTCCCTCCAGGGGCTTGGTCAGCCCCAGATCCCTCCCCAACCCCCCTCACTCCCAGCACCCCAAAGGGGTTCCCTTTGTGGGTTCCCTTGGTGGGTGCCTCGCGCCGGGGCTCTCGGGGCTCTTTGCTGCTTCCATCTCCTGCAGCCCTGAAGAGTCAGACAAGTTCAAGCTGCAACTGATTTATTAGAACCAGATGTGCTCGCTCAGAGCTGCCACGAGGAATTTCAGGGCGCCCCAGCCCTGGAAGGGCCGGCGCTGAGATCCCTGCCCTTCCGCCGCGGGGGCGAGACGAGGCTGGGGCTGCCCGGGGAGCAGCGCTGCCCTCGGAGCCCCCGCTGCCTCCCCTGCCTCCCCGGGGCTCCTGGAAAGGGACAGGGAGGAATTCCAGCCATTTTGCAAGAATTTTCGCCTTTTGGAAAAACACTTTCTCCGCATGACTCAGGAGCAGAGCTGGGTTGGGGAGCAGGGAGGGAAGGCAGCTGGAGAGCAGAGGAGGACAGCACATCCCAAACGGCATCTTCCTCCTGCTGGAAGCAGGGATGAGACCTGAGACATCCCACCCTGTCCCACGGCCCTTCCCAGCAGGAGCAGCGTGGTCCAGCAGCCACACTCCCACCTCCAGCAGGGCCTTACCTCACAGCTCCATCCCTCACCATCTCCCTTCCGCCCCTTCAGCCTGGAGGGGTTTTGGCATCAATCCCGGCTGCTCTCCTGGGTTTGGGTGCGAGTGGGTGGGTTTTGAGGACCAGTCAGATACTGGGAAGAGCCAGTGCTGAACAAAGCAGGTTTTGAGCCCTGATCTCAGGGCAGGGCTGAGCCAGGCCCTGAGCGAGGAGGCTGCAGACACAACAGCCCGTGTCCCACAGACCCGGCCTCGTGGCTCCCGCACCAGCAGCTGCGGTCAGGAGAGGACAGGGCTGAGAAGAGCTCTGGTTTTCTTCTTCCCATGACTGCAAACCAGAGCCAAGCACCTTAAAAACCCACTTGCCTGCGCTCCTTGTGGCTGCTCCAGCAGGGATGGGAGATCTGGCCTGCACACGAGGCCAAATCTCCTTGCTGCTCACCCTGCTGCTCCATCCCCACAGTCCTCACTCCATCCTGTGCCTGTTTAGCTCCAGCTGGACCACGACACCCCTCTGCCCCATCCCTGCAGCTCCAGCTCCATCCATCCCGTGTCTTTTCAGCTCCAGCTGGATCATCGCACCCCTCTGCCCCACCTTGGCAGCCCAAGCAGCAGCAGATGGGAGAGCAGCTCCAGGCCAGGGCTGCCTGCAGGCTGGGGAGGCTCATCCCACAGTGGTGGGGCAGGCGGTGGCAAAACCTCTGTTTTCAGGCTCTACTGGATCAGCTGGATCACTGAGCCCCTCCTGCCCTGCCCCAGCTGCCTGACCTTTGGAAATGAGGAGCAACAGAAAAACCAAGCTGTAGCCAAAGGATGGAGGGAGAAGAGAGGCTGCAGTGACCCATCCATGGCAAGATGCAGGGCTGGGAGCCAAGAGGAGCCCTGAGGAATCCAGAGGAACCTGGAGGAGCCCCCGGTGCAGCAGCAGCTCCTCACCCGCCAGCACCAGCAGCTCTCCCCAACCCCTGGGCAGTTAGTGCATGAAATCAGAGCTGTCTCAGCCCCACTCCCAGCTCCTGCTCCCTGCCCAGCACAGACAATAGTGCCCTTGTGGCCAAGGCCTCTGTTCTGGGGTGTGAACACGGTGAGGGGAGGCCAAGCAGCTCCGTGTTTGCTTGGCCTCTCAACCCCACCCAGGGCGGCAGCCGCGGGTCGCCCGGCTGCCGCCGAGGGTGATGCTGGGGCAAAGGAGTTGAGACCAGGGGCACAGCCACGTGCAGGGGTGGAAATTCAGGATCTTGGTGCAAGGATTCATTGGCAGCTGGTAGAAAAGGCACCTCTGGGCTGGGTTAAGGCTCTGCTGGGTCCTGCTTCCATGGGCTGCAGATCTCTTCTCCCCCTCCATGCTGGGAGTGGGAAGGTTTAAGTCAAGGCTGCTTGAGCCAGGCTCGTGTAGCAGCCAGAAAAGAACATCCTCCAGCAGCAAACCTCAGGGAGACACGGGCAGTGGTAGCAAACCTCGTGTGGAGGGTTTGCCAGGTCACAACATGAACTGGGGCTGGTCCATTTGGCAGAGGGAAGCTCCTTTCATAGCTTGACTCCCAACACAGGGGGCAAAGCACCCAGTGATGGAGCCCCTCTGCAAGGCTCCTTCCTGCTGGCATCAAGCTGAGTGTGCAAGCCCGGGTACATCTCTGCTCCCATCCCTGCTTCTGGGTACATCCCTGCTCCAGGAAGGCCGTGCACGTGGGGTGGGTACCTGGCCTGGAGGCCTGGCCACCACTGGAGGATGCTGGTGCCTTCGCTGCCGAAAGGCCGTCGCCTCCCCCTGCCCAGATCTGTGTCACATCACCAAAACTGGCAGAAGGGGCTGAAAAATAATCACTTGCAGCAGCAGGGAGGGAGCTGAGCTGCTCAGGGTGTTTGGTTTCACTCGCCCTCAGCTGAATGCTGACTGTAACTCCAAGTGCAGCGAGGGTGACGTCAGGTTTGCAGAGGAACTCTGGTCCCTGGTGACTCTTCCTCCAGCTCTAGGGGTGGGTACCACCAGCTCCATGGTGGGGATGCCCTGCAGAGATGTTGGGAGATGCCCTGCAGGGGAGCTGGGCGTGTGAACTGGCACTCCCTGCTGGTTAGTCCAGATATGAGCAGACTTGAGTCTTCAGCTGCCAAGGTCCTGTTTCATTTTCCATTGTGTGTCTGTGAAGCTGCCAAGGCTGGGCCGTAAGGAAGGGAAGGAGCCGAGCTCCTCGTCACTGCCCAGGGTGGTTACTCTGGGTGACTGGACTTGGCAGTGCTGCCTTCCCAGTTGGATCTGATGATCTTCAAGGCTTTTTCCAACCAAAATGATCTGATGATTCTATGACTGAGAGGGGAGGCTCTGGCACCCTGGGCTGGGGAGTGGCCAGCAGGCAGCAGCCACCAGCTCCCAGCACAACCAGCCATGGCAGGGGGGTCCAACACAAATTTTCATCAAGAGACACAAATAAGATGGTTTTTTTTGTATCCCAAGCATATACAGCTCCTTAAGGCAGCTCCTGCTCTACTGGAAATGAAGGACAAACCCACCTGGGATGTCTGTCTCAATGTCCAAACCAAGATCAACACCAGTAATTAAACAAGACTTGGTAATTTTCAGCAGTTTCTCCCTCTGACACAGAGACATCCCTGCTCTGAGCTGTCAAATCCAACCTTCCTTCATCCTTCCTCATCTTGTCCTATCACCTCCATGCAGCCCTTGCAAGAGCTCGTGCCAACACAACAAAGAGCAGAACAGGAAGAGCCATGCAAATCAGTTTCTTAAAACTTATTTTAATATCCATGTCTCATCTGTTGGGTAGAGCCAAAACAGTCTGGCCTGGTTTAAGTTACAAATTCTTCATACACTTTTCTTGAAGTAAATGAACAGTGTGGCAATAGGGTCTGTTACTGGAAGTGAAACCCATATTAACAAGGTGTTGCAGCCAGAATTCTACCAGGGTTCTTCACCACTGTCAGCCCCAGGA